AAAGCCAGGAACATGAAAACATGGAGAGTGTAGCTAACTGCTTCCCTGACAACTCTCTCCTTTGCTAAGAGACCAAAAGAATGAGATGGCACTCAGATATCATGACTGAATTGCCTTGATTAACAGTAGGGCTACAGACACTTCTTAGATAACAATCTCTATGAGACACAGGAATGAAATCACACATTCTCTTTTAAAACAATAACACAACTATAGACCAGTAACTTATAAATCAAACTATGTGATACTGTGTATTTATAGAAAATTTCAAATAGTTTACATTACACAGCATTTGAGATACTGAGTTCGACGTATTATAAGGGTGACTTGGGTCTGTCAGTAAGACAATCTCCACTGCACTGTCTGCATTTGATGCTTACTTCCTAAGAACTTTTTGACTATGTATACAGTCATTACTGAAGTAATGCTTTCATGAATGCAACTGATAGACTGGGATTACTATTCCATTTAAATTAACATCAAATTGATGCATATCATAGACATAGGAATACCACACAGAGAATTTCTAGATTAGAAGGCTTAGAAGAAAATGAATTGGGATATCTCTTTGTCTCATTAAATGGCTACAAGTCAGCATAAATGGTAGGAGATAAAGGTAAATGTTTTCCGTAATTTTCGTTGAGGAAATCAAAATGCATCAAAATGACGTGTCCCATAAACTTAGTGCTAAAGATTCTCTAGACAAATCCTAATCAAAAGGAGAAAATTGCAGAACAAAATGTCAAATTCTCATGGAATCCAGACTTTCTGGAGCCAGTGAGAATAATCCACTGAAACTACTGCTCTGAGATCACCTGGAAAACTTAAAACTGTGACTATCTTCTGACGCCTCCCTGACCACTGTGTGCGCTCAAAGTGGCAGCAGGGAGATGGGACACTCAGCAGGCAGGGAGTGCGTGATTGGTAATGGGGAGAGCAGTCAGCGGGGGGTGGGGGGGCTAGGAAAGGCTGCCATGAAGAATGTAATCAACATCACTGAACCGTCCATGTAGAAGACGCTGGGCTACTTCTGCTTTGCATCTTCTCAACAACTACCAAGCTCATAACCAAGGTAACTTTAAAAAAACAAATGAAGGAAAAAGTCACTATAAACTTTGGCTGTGTTACCCTCCAAGATACATAAAATGATGTCTAAAATCAAGAGAAACAAATTGTCTATCTCAGTGGTGCATGAGGAGGAGGATAATTAACAAAGTCTCAAAATATCAATAGTTAAAAAAAACCTCAACCCACTTCCATCCAGTCAATTCTGACTTTGAGTGACCCCATATTGGGTTTTTCTAAGTCTGTGAATCTTCATGTAATAAGCACATTACCTCATCTTTTGCCCAAAGAACAGCTGGTGTTTGAACAGCCAACCTTAAGGCTGGCAGTGTAATACTTACTTGACAGTGCCCCCAGGGCTGTGTTGCGTGTTAACACACAGTCACGGCAACAACAGGCACTTCCTGATGTGATGCACTAAGGCACCTCTCTCCCATAGCACTCTGGCCAAAAACACAGCTACTGGCAATGGGTGCTCATGGAATGATTCTGAGCCCAAAAATATTACTAAGGAGACAATGGGCAAAACTTGAATCTGGATTGGCTAACAGTATTATTATTAATGTGAATTTCCTCATTTTGATACTTGCACCATGGCTAAGGAAAACGTTATCTTTTGAGAAATATGA